TTTATATTATTTCGAAAATATGGATAGCTCCTTTTCATTCCTACATGTCTTGTTTCTATTGTAGAACATTGGTTGATAGAATATGAAAGTAATTTATATGACATATATTTTGGCATCAATTCGCAAATCTTCATTTGTGTTTTGATTACTGATTGCGGAGGTATATAATTGCCTTTGCTTCCACGTATTTAAATTTTTATATCGATCTTCTTGCATGTGTAGCATTGAGATCGAAAGGATTGTAAGAATTTGGTGAAGCCTGACCGAAGAGATTACATAGGCAATTATCGGATGATGCAAGCATATAATATTCCTTGATAAAAGAAACAGTATCAATAGCTAGCGAATATTATATTGCATTAAATGACAAAAGGCGTAAATCTATCTCAGATAATAAAGAAAAAGTGCTTTCATACAATGAATGTTACTACAAGATGTTTAATTGATAAAGTAATAAGAATTATGTTTCGAATTACTTCCTACCATAAAGAGGTATTCACAATTTTTTCAACAATTACTATAGATCGCAAATATCAAAATGACTAAAAATAAATACCTTTATTGAGATTTAAAAACAACTACAGAACTATAAGAAATGAAAAAAATTGTTAGAGAAGCTGTAGATTAATGAAATTGCTAGGGAGTCAGCCTGCATTGACGGTACAAGTTTCAATTTTAATTCATGGATAATATTATGATAACACTTTACATAGTAAAGCTTTCAAGACTGGTACTTGCAGTCTAAAACTATTAAACCAATTTATATTTCCCAAAACATTAATGATGGATATTTGATGAAGTCTAAAATTGCTGCATGGTCAGACTTAATTTAAAATAAGGTTTTCTCTTATCACATTTTCTTACTATTTAGCCTTTACTATAAGAAACTATGTACTTTGTCATGTAAGATTTTAAAATGTTAATAATAAATTATATTGTTGTATTTAATTTTGCATACCATCGATATATAATTCTTACACTAATATCTTTTTCTTAAAAATTATTTACTTCTTTTGATTGTAAGTACAATAACTTCCACAGCATCTTCGGTACAATAGATCCAATTTGGTATGAGCACTCAGCTCCATTGAAATCCAGGTTTACAACTTTATTCCAACTTTTATTTTCATATTATTATTAAATAAAATTTCTAAATAAATAAAAATTTCTTCTTATAAACTTTAATCTTCTAAAATCAAGACTTAGGGAAGTAAAGAAAAAATTTTTATAAAATTTATTTCTTTTTAAAAATCTTTTCAATGCAGTTTTCATACAAAATAAATTCAGAACTTTCAACCTTTTATATTTTTTAAATATCCACAAAAAAAAAACCAAAGGTTAAAAGCGAAATTGGCTTTCTATGGACTTAAAATTTGAGGTGCATTGAAATGAAATGCAACTTGACATTTTATACCAACTCGATATTATGCGCAAGGTAAGCAGCTTAAACTGGGGAATCTACAGAAAAAAGAAAAATTATTTGAAAACTTCTTTTGATTTAAATAAATAAAAAATGTTTTTATAAATTAAATTACACTATTATTTGCGTTTATTAAGTGGATATTGTTATTGAAGAGAAACTGATACAAATATTTAACGCATATCACAACATATTTATAATTTTGCTATTTATTTAAAATAGACGTTTTTTTGGATTAAAGAATAAAGTATGAATTTTCAAGGATACTATATATTAAAATCAGATCGAAAGTATTATTAGTACAAAACAATTTTTACTGAGACTAACTTATTTTCAAGCGTCTTAAAATCTTCTGCAGCAGCTAAACGTAGCAGTACTTCATTAGGCTCGACATTAAAAATAATTAAGAATAATTTAATATTATAAATTTGCTTGAATATGAGAGAATAAAAATATCAATTTTAGATATAATCCAGAACTTAATTATCACAGCTAGGGAAGCTTAGTAACCAACTGTGAATTGCTAGCAGCTGACTTTAGTCATTGCCCACTCTGCACTTGTAAATGAAGCTATCCAAACAACTGCATATTCTTCATAACTGATAATGGCTTTGATCAAGTTTCTCTCTTTACTTTAATAGTATCTAATATTATTATAAGAGTGAACAAGTATTATTGATAGGTTGAATAAATATATTTGATGTTATTCATATATAACTTTCTTAGATCCGAAAAGCCTATTGGCAAACAAAAAGTACTTCTCATGGCTACTTTTAAAAAAATATATTAATTTTTGTTTATTCATATCCCAAAGCTTTTTTGGAATAATTTTATTATATTTATATTACTAGTTACTACTACTACTACTTTGACAGTATATCAGGCTTTTTATCGATGAATATGAGAGACCTATTAAATTATCTTAATTCAACAGAGTTGATCTAGTCTCTACTCCTATATACTACGGGTTTTTGCGAAGAATGTAGTAGCAAAATGGTGAAAAATCTCTAATTGAGGTATAAGGAAGTTATCCAATGGCTTGTCACTGCAACCATCTAACCAACTACTATTACTACTAGTATTGTATTTGATAAAAAATAGTTTCATATCTTGCCCAAAAATTATATTTTAGCTGACAAAATATCAATCAAGGGAGAGTGCACTGTGACCTAAATGATCTATTGTGCCCCTTAGCCGGATCAGAGTGTTTCACCAAGTTCAATTTCTTTAATGAAAGACAGTATAGAGCCTATCTTTCCTCCTAGGTATTTCTTCCGCTTATGCATCAGTGCCGGGCACTCCCCAAGCGCATGGTATGTAACATCATATAGTTACGCAAACTTTAAAGTAAACATATGATCCATTGAAGGAATGCTTTTTTTCATTTATATTAGTAAAACTGAGTAGCAAAATCATGACTATGAAATGGATACTTATTAATGAAGAAGTCAATTGATTCATTGATTGATTAGTAAAGTAAATTTTTTTTATATCAAAAAAAATTTTTTTTTCAATAAAAATACTTAAATATTTTTATATATTATATTATATTATTCTTATTATTATAATATGTATTATATATATTATATTATATATTATTATATATCATATTTTTGTATTAGATTAGTTTATAAAAGGGTTGGGAACTTGTCACCACGTCACTGCATCCTTTGAGAATTGTTGCGACACAACCACTTTAGTTCCATAGACGAATAGCAGTTAAGAACGCTTCGTCCTTTGAAGAGATGTTACCAAATTGTTAACTACCGAAGTCTGAGTCTGAGTCTGGCGAGACTATCACAATGACACAGAATGTGTTCTGCTGTTTCCTCTTCTTTGTAACAAAGTCTGTATCTATCGTCTCTACTAATACCTAGGTTCGATAGATGCTTTTTGACTCTGCAATGCCTAGTGCGATACCCTGTGACAAATCGGTTGCCACTTCTGTTTAGCATTAGTAGATCCCTTGTTCTGGCTTTTGTTCGATTCGACATGAATTCCTTAGCTTGTCTGCAAGCAATTGTATTATCCCAATCAGTCTGAGTTGCTCTCTCCTTTCACTCATTAATTTTAAGATTGAAAAAGCTCTATGAAGGACCGCAGAATGGTTGTGGCTCAATATAATATGATGCCGCTTCTTTCCTTGCTAGTTAATCGGCTTTCTCGTTTCCCTCAAATCCGCTGTGCCTTGGATTCATATTATTTTTATATAATTTATTTTATTTTGAGCCTTTTCCGATTTAGTGCATCTGGGCACTTTTAATCTTTGATAGCTTGGGGGTCGCTACAAACTCCCACATTAATTTGTGTAATCCTCATAATCTTGTGTGCGTAACGCCATCATTCGCATATAGCTTCAGGGCTCTGTTCCTTACGTATATTATATTATTATTATTTTATTATTATATTATAATAAATTATTAAATGTAATTTGTTACTATAAATTGATTCAGTTATTAAAGTATATATTTTTTATACTTGATAAAATTTTTTTTCCAATAAAAATACTTAATATTTTTATGTTGTTATTATATATATTATTATTTTTAATAAATTATTTTGTATTATTATTATATTATGTGTTATATATATATATATATATATATATATATATATTATATATTATATTTGTATATATTGTATATATTATGTATTATAATATATTATATTATTATTATTAAATTGTATTATATTATTATTGTATAATATAATATATTATATTTTATATTTGCATTATATTTAAAAATGTCAAAATTGAATATTGTCTAAAATGCAATTTATTCTATTTAGTATTCATAATATATTCAAATATATAATAATAAACAGCTATTTCGGTTTGTTCAAAAACAAAATAAAAATAAATAAATAATATAATAAAATGAAATAAAATAAAATAAAATGAAATAAATTTGTTAAATCTTTTAAGTGTTGCGTTCAAATGCTAACGCGTTCCATAAGTATCTCAGAATCGCAAAATCGCCAAATCGCTGAGATAAAGCATCGGTGAGATGCTTTGCTGGCAGTTTAGCGATTTTTTCTGTTTGTTAACACGCGCGGAATAATCTGTGAAATATCAAAGGCAAAACAATTTACCTTACATAATTTTGAAATATAATTGAATTAACAAAAATGAAAAGAAAATTATTCCAACAACAATTTTAGTTGTTTTAAAAAGTGTTAAAAAAGCATTGAATTAAAAAAATAACAACCAACGCCTGAGGAAAGTGAAAATATATTAAAATTAAAAAAAAAAATTGTATCTAAAAAAATGCAATAAAATTTAATAAAAATAAATTAATTTAAAATATAAATTTGTGTAAACAATATTGAATTTAATTTAAATAAAATATAAATAAAAATATGAAATACCCTTTCAAATAAAATTAAATTAGCGTGAAAATTTAAATTAAATTAATAAAGTTTTTTTTTTAATACAAAACTAATTTATTTTAATAACATAATATTAAATTTTTACTTTATTGCTTATAATTTAATAAAGTTTTTTTTTTTACGTGAAAAACTTTTTTTGTGAATAAATTGAATTTTCTGAGTGTAAAACAGTTTTTTTCTATATAAAAAAATGTTCGAATCCGCCGAGCAGCATTGGCAACAGCCCCAAGGTACGCAGAATGGCTAATAGTTTTAAATATAAATTTAATACCAAATACTTGCAATACAAATGTGTACAAATATTTATAGTAAAAAATTTTGGTTTTTTTTTCTTAATTTATTTATATTTATTTTTGTTTTTGTCTTAGTTTTCAGTTCTAAGCAAATTCTTCAGTCAATACAAAAACTACGTGAAAATTGATTGTATCTTTTGCAGTGAACATGTGTTAGCCGTGAAAAAAAATAAACAATAATTGCTCATTGGCTAATTAAGTTTGTTATTGTTTTGCATTTCTGTTGGTTTAGTCCAATATAAACAAATAAACAAAAGAATTAGAAAACGTAAACTTATAAACATATTTTCTTAGCTTATTTATTTATTTAAAACAAAAGTAATTTTTATATATAAATTTCTAGAAAAAAATATTATTATTTTCATATATTTTAGTCTAAAAATGTTTATAAGGGCCATGCTTTCTACAATAATATTTTAGAAAATATTTAGTGCTGTTAAAAAGCATATTTAAGGTGACTTCTATAGAAAAGTGTGCACTGTTTAAACGCAATGGGGAGTATGACTATGAAGAGGGCCATATAGTTTATTAGAAATTTTTATATTATATTTAAATTAAATTATATTATATTTAAAATCTCTACTAGCATAAAATTATAATAAATGAATGGAATATAAGATCAAAACATTAGTTCTGTAAAGCTAGGGTGAATGACTACTTTTGTTAATCAACTTTTGTCAGTTTTTGTTGTCTAATACTACATCTTAATTTCGCAAAAATCTTAATTTCATCTTCGTTTCAGCGAAATAGAGTTGTTTTTTCTATACGAAATTTAGTTTTAAGGTTAGAACTAACCTTAAAACAACTATGCAACTATGCGTAAGATAAATTTAAAGCGAAAGATATAGTTGAGATAACGAAAAAGTGACATTTTTTTTTTAAATAATTGTCAATGACAGTTAAGTTTAATAAAACCGGGAAAATATTTTCAAAGTAGTGCAAATGTTTAAATTTGAAAATAAAGAAAAAACTGTAACTGTTATTAATTTAAAATAGAGTGAAAAATAATAATTCACATATCCGAAATTCACTCAAGCTTATAGAACTACTATCATTTTTACGAAATTAAGAAATGAACACTTTCGAAATTAACTTAATATCGTTTTTACGAAATTAAGAAAATTTAATGGACTAAACATAGTATAAAAGCCATGTTATATGGATAGTAATGGTCCCATCAACTATGCAATTATTACTGTTCACAATATAAATTAAACAATTTTAAATACTTTCTATTATATGCAGACGATAATTTTTTATTTAATCGTTATGCAGAGATTCATATCATAATTGAAAATAGGATTATTATAATTATGATTTGTTTTTTTACCGCCTAAATCTAAAAGGTATTTAATTTTGTGTGTATATGCCTATACTTCCACACAAAACTATATACATTTACTATGAGATTTTTCAAAAAAAATTTGGTTACGATGATGAAGACTCCTTTGCTTTTTCACATTGGCCAAAACAGTGTTGCTTAATAATAATTATCAGTATTTGTGCCTTTCAGTAATAAAAATATATATTTATGAGTGCATATGTAAGTATATCAGCACAGAAAATATTACCTACTATATTTTGGTACAAACAAAAAGTATGGATATACATTAAGACCGAAAAGTTTTCGGAAATTCTCATTTAAAATTCGCGCGCTGTATATTTTCCGATATTTTAAGTTTATGTAGTTTGGCAGCACTGTCCTTAATTACTATGCCAAAAATGAGCGCGATCTGTCAGACAGTTCGTTTACGGCAGCTGTTGAAACCAGTTCACCTCAGTAGGGCGTTGCGAAAAAAACAATGGAAAAAAATATTGAACAAAGAGTTTGCATCAAATTTTGTGTTTCGAACGAAATTTCGTGTGCAGAATCGTTGCGAATGCTACAAAAGGCTTATGGGGAATCAGTTTTATCGAAAACTCAAGTTTATGAGTGGTACAAAGCCTTCCAGGACGGTCGTACGACCGTCGAAGACATTTCGCAACGCACTACTGAGGTGAACTGGTTTCAACAGCTGCCGTAAACGAACTGTCTGACAGATCGAGCTCATTTTTGGCATAGTAATTAAGGACAGTGCTGCCAAACTACATAAACTTAAAATATCGAAAAATATACAGCGCGCGAATTTTAAATGAGAATTTCCGAAAACTTTTCAGTCTTAATGTATTAGTAAAAGTAGGAATGAAAAATTGTTATTTGACTTTATATATAACATATATTTTGTTCATGAACTAAAAGAGTGAGATATACCCATTTTCATTCGTTATAAGTCAGTCTGCAAAATGGTCCAATAAAGATGAGAACATACAAATCATTTATTTTCGCAAAGTGTCGATGAATTAGAATAAGTTCTTCTAACAAAAGTGAAGAACACATTAAACTATATAAGTTGAAGCGTTCGTTTCAGCGTTGGTAAAAGTGTCAAGACAGAAATATACACCATATTAGATAAATCCATATTTGATATTGATTATACCATCACATTCTTTGTCATTTTTGTTTTTTTGTGTGACAAGGAGGAGAGGAATGCCTATGGACTGACCACAATCCGGCGCCCTGGAAAGTGAGTACACGGCTCGCACGGACGAAACCACTCCCCCTAATTCCTAGAGACCTTGTACTACTCCGGGACTATGTTTGTGTTACTTCGAGGTAGAGTCCCTATTACTCATTAAAGACTTCTATCGGTGGGATCTGCGTCCAGCCCCCGCTACTGCTGCACTATCTTTGTGATTAGTTGCAAACGGTTGTCGATGTCGATATCAAGTTGTTGATTTCTGTAATTAGCTCGCCGAAAACAATCTTTCTTATGTCCAATTTGATGTTTAGAATATAGTACTTTTTTGATAATTAAAGCAGTAGACACAAAGTAGTGTCTGTAAGAATTACCGCAAGATGGTGTAACTACTATATGTTCTTGCAATCAATACATTAATTTTTGACATTGAAGCCATGAATAACATTTATATATAGTGTAATGGATAAATTTATTTAGAATACCCGATTTCACAAAAAATTGGTGTGAAAATTTGAATTTTTTTAAATATAAAACTTGGTATAATTATTTAAAAAGTTTATTCAACGTTTTTTTTTTTATTAAGTTATCATATTTATATATTGTAAAACGCATCAGAAATTACAGAATGTGTATTTATTGTAGATAGGTTTTTGAAATCAATTAGTTCACAAAACATAGTGCTGACTATATCTTATGAAGTACGAATAATTTCTAGTAATTGTTGTGTTGATCTTACAAAACAATGGCAAAACAATGTCAAATTTGATGCAGTTTTTGAACTACCTTTTGGTACACCGACTATCGGTTAATTGCTAATGTTCTGAAACTAGGTCTAAAACTATGTCCAAAACTATGTCCACGTTGCTGCGATTTTTGGACATCCTATTCGCGCGTCGATTCTTGATCAGTCATAAATTTTTTAAGACTATGTCAAAAACTATCCCCACATTGATGCGATTTTTGGACATCCTTTTCGTGCGTCGATTCTTGATCAGTCATAGATTTTTTAAGACCATGTCCAAAACTATGTCCACATTGATGCGATTTTTGGACATTCTTCTCGTGCGTCGATTCTTGATCAGTCATAGATTTTTTAAGACCATGTCCAAAACTATCTCCACATTGATGGGATTTTTCTCGTGCGTCGATTTCCGATCAGTAGTGAGTTTTCCATAACCATGTCCAAAACTATGTGTATGCAGTTTTTGCATGTCGTACGTCGATTTGAAAGCTTGTTCAATCATTTATAAAGAAACTAGTAGATATGCTTAACAATATTTTTAAATAGTATGGTTAATGTAGCTTTTGAATGGTAGATTTAGGTACAAAGTTCTTTAATCCTAACATTATTTTTTTTAAATTTATCACTGTAAGAACTATAATGGTTTTATTAAATCATACCTTAACAGAATAATTTCAAATGCTTAGTAAACAAATAATGAAGTGACAAGTTAATATTAAATTTGTAAAAGACTATACATTAAAATGGCTTCAGAATTTAAGTTCAACTAAAAAGAAGAAGAAACTCTCATTAAGATTTGCTTAAGACTGAGGGTGTTTTCAAAACTCTGAGTTCTTCCCTTATACAGTAACACAATGGCATCAGTGGATCGTTTTGCAACGCCGATACAACCTAAACTCAACCCAACCTAAATGAAAGTTTACAAGGATATATTTATTTCTGTTTGGTGTTTAAACAGATAAGCACCTTAGGATCATCCGTGGATGTGGTGCAATCTTTTGGCTAAACTTTTGTTTGTAATCAATCAATTGCATTGATATCGCAGTTGACAAACTATTATATATTTGTATTTATAAGTCAGTAAGCACAATATTAAGCTAAGTGTTTTCATTATAAAAATAAAAACTTGATTTTACTTTACTTAACTAACAAATCCACATAATGTTCTGCATGTTAATGAAATACTTAAGCGATCATTTACAATACGTGCAATTAACAATCTGTCAAATTATAGACATTTTATCACTTCGTATTGTTATCTTAATAAATGCCGTGACTGTAACTAGCAAACTCGAGTAATCGCATTCATTTCTGTCAATTTGACAAAATACATTTTTATTTGAATAGCTGGCTCTGCTGTAAGGCAAACATAATTATGGGCTTGTGATTGCAATTAAGTTTTATACTTATTGCAGTCACATCATTCCTTGGCAGAGTATCTGGTGCCAATTTTTAAGTAGCGAGCGGACTGGCTATATAATTAAGGCGGCATCACAATATGTAGTACGTATATACATACCCGTACATTTGTAATATCCTTAATTTAGCTCATTACAAAATATCCACTTAATCACATTTGATTGTTGGCTTGACAGCTGCAAGAGAATAGTTTGAGCCAAATTAGTGCTCATCTAACAAAATCCCAACAGTCGTTCCCTTATCTACAAACAGCAAACTAATTTGTTTTCATACTATTTTTCTTAATGTAAATATTAAATATTCTTAAGAAAATCACAGAAATTTGCATTTAAGATTTAAATTAAAATAATTTGGCAACAATCCAAGGTACAATTGTATTTTTGCTCTTCATAAAGAAAATTTGTTAAAAATATTTGTCAGGTAGTTTAAAAGATAAAAAAAATTTTTTTTTGCTGCAATCATATATAACTATACAGTATATAAAGTATATATTGTATATAGTATTTATAAATAAACATAAAAAGCAATTGCATTTTGTCTCCACAAAGTGATTTGAGGCGCTATTCTTTGATTTTCCACTTAAAAATTTTTTCATTTTATTTTTACTGTCACTTTTTGGACCATCATCAGTTAAAATTATTATCTCCTGAATGAGCATTTAATTTGACGTTTATGATACTGAAATGTGGCGCCCGAATGCGCACCGGACAAAGCACATAAAAATCATTTTCAGTATGCGTACATACGAGTATTCACTTAAGTTTACTTTGGCTTTGTGTACTTGTTGCTTTCTGCCTATGAAAATGATGGATGTTGTTTTTTTTACATTTAATTTCTGTTTAATAGCTTCACATAGTTAATATTTTTTCTCTATTTTGTTGTGTTTTACAGAAAGCCCATCGGGGCCCACCAAACTGGCACATCAATTTTGGTTCTCATATCCGCCACCAGGCGCTGGCGGAGGCTCTTCTAGTAAGTTTGACCGCCTTTGATTATTTTCTATTTTTTCCGTTTTTCCTTTTTTTGTTTTTTTTTCTTGATATATACAGAATATTTATTTATATATATATATATATATTTATGTATGTAATATATATTTTTGTATATATTCTTTGGTGTGTTTTATGTATTTTTCTTGTCATTCTCCATTATTTTATGTGTTTTCATGTGTTTGATTGGTGTTTTGTATTGAATGTGTTGGCATTTTCTATGTGGTCTTTATGAAAAATTTTCTAAAACACAATAAACTATCACTCATAAAATATCATTTATTATTATTATATATAATATTATAAACATTAAACAATATAAACAAAAACATAAACAATATATATAAAAATTATTGTACTCATATATACATTTTCTTACTATTCTGAAAATATCTCAAACCATTATAAAGTATTCTAAACCATATATCAAGTTTAATTTTAATAGCCTATAATTAATAGATTTATAAATATGTTTTTAAATTAGAACATATAGTTATTATATATATATGATATATAAATCGTTTGTATTCAGCCCCAATTCTTCTTTAATTAAATATAAATAGTATATAGTACATACATATATATCTATATAGTATATTAATAACTGGCCTATGTTATACACTCAGAAAAATAATTTGGTTGATTTAAACAGATTTTAACTAAATCACAAGTCAAAATATTTTTACTTGACGCCTCATATTGGTTCAACTATACCACATATTGTTTTCCTTATATTCTACACCACATAAGATAAATTGACAAAATAATCAGATCAATTTAACTAGTATGTGGTTAGAGCATATTTTTCTGAGTGTAGATACTGTATTCTAATTTAACTTATATAACGTTCTTATCTCATATATTGTATATATTACGCTACACCACTGTAGGTACTGTAGTTTAAATTAGCTGATATATGCCAGATTTATAATAAATTATTAAAAAACAGTTATTAATATTAAATACATTTTTTTTAATATTTAAATAATAATATAATTCAGAATTAATTAAATTTAGAAACAAAAAACATCGATCATAAGTGCTAAATATAAAGAGAAAAATGGAATAAAATTTAACATGATATTGTGCTGAACAGAGGTTTATTATAGGAAATCACTTTAGAAATCACTTTAAAGTATATAATAAAAGTTTTAATTAACACAAAAAAAAAGGAATTAATATCAGAAAAGTTTAAAACTGTGTTTAACTTTGAAATCTCCCAAGTTTCCAATTTAGTACTAATGTGAAGACCATTGATACTAGACTTCCAACTAAATGCAGTAGTATACTTATTTTTTTTGTAAATGAGAACAAAATTCGATAGTCTTAGATAGTGAGGGATTTTAATTCCTTGAAGCCATCTTTTATTGTATTAGGATGGATTCAGTTGAAACCACCATTAAGTATTAAGTCAGGAACTCATTATACGCACAAAAGTATAACATTAGTTGGTTTGTTCATCATTGTTGTCATTGAGTTCTATACCTTGCACTATTTATGACTACTGTCACAAATGTGCCAAATGTCATTTGTCACAATGGGTTATATTCCGTTGTACTGCAACCATAGTAAATTACTTGTGTAAGCAATCAATCCCATCTAAAAAAAAACAGTAAGTTCTTCGAATGAATCCCAATTATAAGAGTTTCCCAATTAGTATACTTCAATAGGCTCAAATCAAAAACCCACGGTAAGAATATTACTACGTATCTCATATATACACAAGCAGAACCACTATTCTGTCTACTCCAACAGTCTTATTTTGTTGGGATGGTAGCGCAGGTCATGATGACCCGCCCGATAAATTGCCGATAGCGTCCGATCTGTTGTGCTGAATAGAAAACCCTTGCATTAGAACGAACGGTTCTTTAGCCTTAAAGTTATTCGAAGTGTTGTGCGACTGTTGATTAATAATTTTAAAAGCCCCTCTTCAATCTGAGACTTAGTTGTATGATAATTTATACCATAATGAGTCTTAGTTTCATTGAATTAAGACGTAATTATGCTGTTACTGCTTTATTTTTCGTAAAAATTACAACTCTTTAACAGACTTAATTATTCCAGAATAAAGTTAAGAAACACATAATTAAATAATTGTTTGCGTATTTACAAGATTGTCCAAACGCTAATTGCCATTGTTTCCAATATGACCGGTAGAAAAAGCATCTACACTTTAATAGAAAAACTGATTTCCATTTATATGCCTTAATCACTCTGCCATGACTGCATTAGTGGTTTATATGAATTTTGAGTAAGGACATCTTTATACTGTGACCAGAAACTGCTGTGACTTCTTGATAAAGCGGACAACATTGGGGACATTGTCATTAAGGACAAACATTAAGGATGAGGAGGCATATATTGGATATATACTGGTTCAAACACAATCTATTCTTTTCTAAGTATATAATACTCACGATCGATGATTTAATTTATAATATTTGTGATAATAAATTTTTTTTTAAACTAGATAAACTGAATTTAACTAAAATACATAGTAAATAAATACTTTTACACATATACATTTCATTAATTATATGTTTTATATTCTTTTGATATTAGTTATAATAATTAGCGGAATTAAGTAAATATTTTTAATTTAAATATGTTTGAACCACTAAACCATTCAAGGTAGTTTTCATAAGATCTTTTCATTCTATCGTTTAAGTTAATAAGTAATTGTGATTGATTATAAATACTTAAAAAGAAGAAGAAAATTAAAGCGAATAAAATAATAGGTCACTTAAAGTAATTCTTTATTTGATATTTATTATCTTAAGCAAAAATTTTATAAATTTGTTTTTACAATGACTGATGTCCAAACATTTGGTACTTTTTTCATATTACATTTATAAAACCTTAAACAAACTTATTTGATTTACAAAAAAAAATAATAATTCTTTATATATAAAATTAAATAATTAAATCAATCAGTATATATTCACAATCATGCTTCAATCATTTATTTACTATATATAAATATTAATTACTTTACTATAATCAATGTCAGAACCTTCGCATTTCATTAGCATAAGAAGCATTTAGTCTCGATTTTGTTGCATTAAATCCTTAATAAATATATCCGTAAATAAATTTAATTGTTGCATTTTAAATTGTTGTCTTGAAATCGATTTCTACTTAACTAAAAATTGTTAATTGTATATTAAATGAACTAATGTTTTTAATTAATTTAAATATTCCTTATTTAGGGGCTTAGATCTACTCGTAGATTCACTGTAAACAAACAAATACACACACAAATTAGTGGTCATCAAGCAAGTCTATAAGTCTGTACTGTACCCTTTATAGACAATTAAGTTAAAACTCGATTAGAGGTAAGGCTTGAAAACATGGTGTAGTAATTGTGTATCGTTTGATATGTACTTTTCCTTAATAGCGATTTTATTACGAATTTTAAAGCATTTTGAAAAATTTTAATTAATTTATCTTAATAATTTTGCTATAGAATTTTAATTTTTTAATTAGCGTTTTCTCTTCCCAATTAAGTTGTAGTTTTATTAAAATTTGTTTACACCATCAAACATACAACGAATTTTATTTCGAAAACTGATCAAAAATTTAGAAAACGGTTGCTTTCATGTATATAAATTGTTATTTGCAGTATTTTTTTTTTATTTATATACACATATCCTTATATATACAAAATTTCATATTATATGTATTATTTGTTGAGAACTTATATCTTATGCTATAAATAGTGTATATATATAAAGATGTTAATCAAAAACTATTTACACTAACTTCAGTTAAGGAATGCCTTATAACTATAAAATATGTAAAAATTTGTAAAAAGCGCTTTTGTTTGAAGGTGTATACTTGTTATTAAGTATTGTACTTGGTATTATCATCTATGGCGACTTGAAAAAGTATGTGTTCATAAACAAAAATTGATCAATTATATATATAAAGAGAGTTCTGTGTTATATGATAATATTTTCTTAATTGTATTCATTAATTTAAATATTTTACATATATATAAATATACATTAATCTAGTACTATGTAATATAATTGTAATATACTTTTCAGTTCCTTGAAAATTTAGTCTTTGTTAAGTACATATACCAAAAGAAAGTTAAAGTATACTACTAACTCCTTGAAGTTGACTAGTAATATTAATGGAATTGCTATCCATTTTAAATTATAAGTGCATGATTAATACAAACCCATATTGCAAACTTTTTCTAGACAACCATTACTGTAAGGAAATAATCCTTGGGTCACAAAATAATATTCAAAACTTGTTTGATATACTAAGTTCTTACTAATAATTTATTAACACAGCAGTTGGTTTAAAAATTAATTTCTTGGTTGAAACTAAATTTGCAAGTTTACATTTTATAACTATAACTTAAATTTAAGACCTGCTTAATTGTTAGTAATTTAAAAATCCCACGGTTCTCTTAACGAGGTAGCTAGGTGTTTCAGTGTCCAACTAATGTTGGCAACAGGACACAAGAACATCTCGGGTAACTGCATGGATAACGAACTTGCTTAATTAGTCATGCTGCTTTCTGATATTTATTTCTCGGACATTGTTAACTCACTTGCAACGGCTTAGCTGATAATTAAAGCCAAATATCTATGTATACCTAGAAAAAAAAATAAGTAAATGAAAATACTTCTCAGATCTTGAGATTCTTGAGATATGAAAAGGAATAAAAGCGTCCCAATCAGCTGCTTCAACTAAAGCAGCACAACTATTTTATCTACTGTTCAGATAAATGAGACTTAATCTATTCTAAATACCTATACTATAATTAAGAAGATGTAAAGTTGAAAAGTTTTAAGACTCCTTTTCTTACCGAAATGATTGAGGTGTCGTTCTTTTTTTTTAACGAGTGTAAAGAAATCGAAAGCCCAAGTTAGTAAGAGACTTCAACCCAATACAATCACCGCTTTGTCCTACGGTTTGCCTTCTCGAGATCACTGATTTGATATTTCGTCAAGAGGCGTCAAGAGT